GCGCATGCCAGACCTATTGTACATATTTTTAGTGGTAGGGGAAACCGGAGTACCCGGAGGAAACCTACGCCTCCTAAACTGTTTAACATATATATGAATGACATTTTTAATACATCTAAAGTACTAAAACTAATTCTATTTGCTGACGACACAACTATTCTATACAGTGGTGATTATTATAATGAGCTTTTAATCTCCGTAAACAAGGAACTACATCAAATAAAAAAGTGGATGGATGCAAATAAATTATCCTTGAATGTAAATAAAACTAAGATGATGATGTTTGGGAATCGCAACCTAACGTCTGAATCGAGAATAAGTATTAATGATATCCAAATTGAAATGGTAAGTGAAATTAAGTTTTTGGGAGTAAAAAGTGATAGCAAGTTGTCATGGAAACCCCACGTCAGACACATAAAAACCAAAATTTCCAAAAGCCTCTCAATTATTAATAAAGCAAAACTATACCTAAATGGAAATGCACTCCGTACATTATACTGCAGCCTGGTTCTTCCATACCTGACGTATTGTGTTGAGGTCTGGGGTAACACTTACCACAACACACTACATCCTCTCATCATATCACAGAAAAGAGCAGTGCGGATCATCCATAAGGTTGGTTTTCTGGAACATACTCATAATCTTTTTACTCAGTCAAAGCTGCTAAAGTTTGATGATCTTGTTAAATATAATACATCAATAGTCTTGTATAAAGCATTCAACAAATTATTACCGTCTAATCTGCAGCGTTTCTTTATGACTCCTGAGCGAGCTCATAACTTGAGAGGTTTTGGATATTTTTCACTGCCGAGATCAAAAACCACTCGTAAATGTTTTTGTCTGTCAGTATGTGGAGTAAAACTTTGGAATAAACTGGACTCACAACATAAGCAATGTAAAACTATTCATCGATTTAAACTGTTCTATAAACATAAGGTCTGGTTACAATATAGAGATGAGGGTCTTTAATTTAATCAGATTTTCTCTGTCTCATAGTAACATGTGCTCAATGTTCCATTACCTTGTTAGTATATAGAATCTTGCTATTGTTGTTTTTTCTTTTTTGTTCATTACCATTGTTGGTATATTTTCTATTACCATTGTTGGTATATTTTCTATTACCATTGTTGGTATATTTTCTATTACCATTGTTGGTAACTGTTGTTACAATGTAAATGTCCTTGTTGCCCGTGATAACGCCACTCTGGTATGACACTGGCTTGAACTGTAACAGTGAAGTTGATCGTTTAATCACTGAAATGGGGATATAGAGGTGGGATTAAATACGTTTTTTCTTCCTCCCACTCCTTTTCAGGCAGAAATATATGGCCATGTTAAACCCTAGATTTTTGTTTATACATTTTTTGTTTACACTGTTTTTTTTGTTTTTTTGTTTTTTTTATTGTGTTTGTCTGTTTTGTTTTTTGCTTTATATTATTTATATTACTTAATTGCATTTAATTACCTCGTTTTCTCACTTGTGCCATTGCCTGAAATAAATAAATAAATAAAAATAAAATAAAAAGTTTTATTTTTTCATTGATTATGTACTTTTCCTCTGCACACTCCCCCACCTCCCCAAACAGGAACGATAGGTAAAATCCTTCAGCAGACATAGTGACCAAGCGGAGCATAGACACCTGGAGATGAAGTATCTATTGGTACTGGGATCCATCTCCCAGTGATTATTGACTTGGGCAGGACTTGGTCAGGACTGGGTCAGGAGTGGATCAGGACTTGGTCAGGACAAATGTCTGGAGCAGAGAGAATGTACAGACGCTATTGAGATCTAAAAAATATTGATCCATTCATTACTTATTGAGCGATAAACTACATTATGTAGGTACTGTATATACAGCAGATTTATAAATATGTAGATAATATTAATAATGCACTAAGTTTTTATAGTGCTTTCATAATTACTCAGAGACGCTGCATGTGGGATTATTCATTGCTGCTGTTCATGGTGTTGATAAACTACCACTGTAGCCACAGCTGCCCTTAGGCAGACTGACAGAAGTGAGGCATCCAGTATGGGCCATTTGTCCCTCTGACCACCACCAATCACCCACTCACATTCCAGGCAATGTGGTTGAAGGACACACAATCACTTTACCAGACTGGGACTGGTCCAGTTCTTGTCCGGTCCGAGTCCTGAAGCCGTGTCTAGCCTGAGTGGAAGGCTATTTTAACATGGCACTAAATCAGTCGAGAGAATATCTTGTTGTTTCCATGTGGAAGATCGGCAATGGGCCGGATCAGGCTGTTTGAGCTCAATAGACCTGCTCTATAAGCTAATATTCCAATCATACTCATATTTCTGAGCCTGCTGCGTCCCAAATGCAATCTGGTCTCATGCGGTGTTCCACCACATCAGCAGATAATGACTGACATTGGAGGAGCGTTCCCGTCCATTCACTCAGCCTCCTCCATAACAGAAGTGGACACGAGTCAAGATGAAGGACAGCATGGTGCTTAAGAGGCAGATGGTCGGCTGGGCAGCGCGTTCTGTGACCCTCGGCGTAAGGACAAGCCAAAAACCTTGAAGTGACACATGTAGCTTGCACGTCACGCTGCAGTTATAGCATCAATATCCCTTACTGACCACGGGCTATACATCAGCGAAAGGTCACTCAGAGATGTGCAATCTGTCCTGCAGCAGTGTCTGGATTCAGCGGTGAAGGTCAGCTATCCAACAGGGAAAGTGGCAGATGTATAGGTGAGGAAACTTTGAATATTGTCATTTATAGGAGGCATTTAACCTTAACAATGTTGGGGAGATACGGAAAACATGTAGCGCTGGTATGTATTCAGAATACTCTTTTTGAGTAACTGTTTTCAGTTACAGTTACTTTAACGACTAATATATAGAATACAGTTACTTTCTGAAAATTATGGGAATACATATCCATGCAATACGCATCCAACAAGTCCAGACGAACAGCAGCGAGCGCACGGAGGAGTGTGTGGTTTTAAAACATGAAGACAGAGGTCGCATCATCAGAGCACAATGCACGAAAACAACGCAAATCGCCAAAGCGTTCATATTGTGGAAGAGCAATCACCGTTTCATTCTGTTTCCTTCTTTGTACTATCGTAAAAAATATGTGCGTGCATGTAAATTCGCTGGGACCTAGGTTATATTTCCAAAGGGTATATGTGTTCGTGGGGAAAGTCATAGAAGGCAATGATCCAATAAATGCCACCTATTAAAGTACTCGGAGTAAAGGAATACTTTACAAAATACATTTTAGATCATGTATTTCAGTATTCTGTAAAGGAAGTTTTTGACCAACACTGAACGCTAAACTGACTTTTCTGATCTACATTTTTTATCAACATGGAGACATGTTGCCTGAAACAGTACCTTGGTTTTTTGTATTTTTTATCTTGTCATTATTCTTTCACTCCATACGCTTTGGTAATAAACTTCAGCTGTAGCCACAGCTGTAGCCACAGCTGCCCTGGGGCACACTGACAAAGCAACCAGTCTGTGCCATCAGCCCCTCCGTCCACCACCAACACACAAGACTCATTCTACTCAATGTGGGTGAAGTTATTGTAAACACGACATGACACTGAGAGCATAGGGCAGGGCAATAGTAATGTTTACTCTTCATCCTTTATTCACCATCTATTTTATAATATTATTTCACACTCTTAAGTAAATAGTCTCATTAGAATTGTTAATGACCAAAAATAATGTACAATATTTCTTCTTCAAGATTAAGGGAGCGCATAACCACTCACCATACACATGCACATGATGTAATTGCTAAAGATATTATGGCAATTTTTATTATAAATGGACAGATGTTCATTTGATGGAAATACTCACAATAAATAAATATACATACATTACTAGCATCCCTCTATAGGCCTTTTTTATGGAAGAAATGAAGTGGCTTTATTGGCAGTTAGTGGCAGGTTACGGTATTCTGTTAGCATTAGTATCCCATATCCTGTGAGAAAACACCTGTCTACTTTAAAAAGAAAGTAGACAAGGGGTACGCCAAAAATTCTCAAAAAGATTAAATTTTTCTGAAAGTTGAGTCCTTTTTCTGAAAATAGATCAGAGTCATAAGGGGTCGACAGTTGAACACAAGTTATTAATCATAATCAATCACCTGTCTTTGCACGCAGCCTGTAATATGACAGGCTAAAGTTAATTTGGGTTAGCACCTGAGTGAGGAAGTCCACACATCCTCTTCCACCATCTGCGAGCTCCAGGAGCACAGGGAGAAAATCCAACTGCTCCGATTAATTTGATTTGATGCTCTCCCTCCCCGCTGCCATCTCCAGAGATTGACCATTAGCATTTTCTCTCACTCCCAACAAAATGGAGATAACAAGTAAGTGGAGATAGCACAATTTGAAGCTTTAAAGGAGACAAAGTATGCATTGTTATTGGCCATCAGAAATGTATAATGACACTGTTTACTTGGTCTTTTCATGTCATAGAAATTATATCCTCAGGATAGAACACATAAATGGTGAATCATCCATCATTGGTAAACAATCTTATCCACCTGCCTTCTCTCTAGGCTACCACTAGAGGGAGGGGTCATATTTTAGCCCCTGGTTGCCTGATTGGGAGCGATTCCGCCAGCCCTGTTTACTGTTTTACTGAGTAGAGTAGAGTAGAGTAGAGTAGAGTAGAGTAGAGTAGAGTAGAGTAGAGTAGAGTAGAGTAGAGTAGAGTAGAGCAGGGTAGAGTAGAGTAGGGTAGAGTAGAGCAGAGCAGGGTAGAGTAGAGTAGAGTAGAGCAGGGTAGAGTAGAGCAAAGCAGGGTAGAGTGAAGCAGGCAAGAGCAGAGTAGAGTAAAGCAGGGAAGAGCAGAGTAGAGTAAAGTATAGTAGAGTAAAGTATAGTAGAGTAGAGTAGACATATTAGTAGACATATATATACATATTTGTTTGCAGCCAAAGCCGTCCTTTGCTGGAAGTAACCATGCTTGCGATCTGGTATCCTGCAGACTCTCTGACCTCCTCCACGCCCGGATGGCTGCTCAGAGGAAAGCTGAGACCGATAATGCGAACAGACAGAACTTATCGCCCGGGATCTTGGGGGCGAGGGCTTCCCAACAGACTGTGATGCAACGGAAAGCAGACGACATTGTTGGGGGTGAAAGCATTACCAGACTCCAGCGTACATCGTGGCAGGCGGTGGAGGAAGGAGCAGGGTTATTTTGAGGCGCCGTTGCAATAGAAGGCAAGTGTGGAGAGAAACTCAACTGAGGGGGAATTGTCAGGTAAAATGGAAGTACTTTGAGGTCAGTCCTGGGGTTGCATGAAGACACAATCGGGGTGATGGTCGGAAACAAATTGTCAATACAGCACAGCACTATCATTGTTTATTCTCTTGAAATAGTTGTGTATAATCAAGCATTCAAGACAGCTTCTTTGTTACCCATAATCTAACCTATAACTTTGAATACACAGAATTATGGCTGTGTAATAAACTGCTGGGGGACTTATGATTTATGTTCTAATCGTACATTGTCCCCTTTTAAATAAATACAATAAAATAAAAAATAATTAATTCTTGGACTATAGTTCTTTTTTTTTTGTATATGTAATTGTCTGTAGTGGCATTATTTCCAGGTCTGACAACTCATGGCAGATGGCAATGACAATTCAAAACAAGAAAGATGCCCCAACTACAGCCAAAATATAAAAGAATAAATAATGTTCTGCAACCAACAAAAGTCACACAGGCATCAATCAATAAAAAAGGCAAGACAAAGTAGAAGGACAAACAAGAATATCCAACAGAGCAGATAAAGACAGACAAGATAAAAACAGACGAGACAGAGACACTTTCACTATACTTTTCACATCTAGCCATTACCAGCTCTCGGGAAAATATATAATGATTTTAATAATTTAGATGATGTGGTCTGATTCGTCCACAAAATGTTACTCTTTCTGTCGGTACAAACAAAATGTATTTATGAGACAAATCAAAATGTCATACTGCAGCGTTAAGTTAGTGCTTCTCGTTGGTTTAAAGGTGATCAGTAACTTTATTGTGTTTCCTGTCTTCAAAGATGTACATATTTACTTTAAAGCTGCACTAACTCACTTTGTGAAATTTTCGAATGTGAGCGCTGGCCTCGCTCCTCTGCTCGCCCTCCCCGCACTCACGAAGCTATCGCCCTCCCACTCAGCCTTTGTTTACGGAGCTCACGTCTCACAATATGGATCGCACATTTGAACGTGGATGGCGTGACCATAGAATGATTGAACCGGGAAGCGGGGAGGAACGAGACTTTCTTTTGGCTGTTTCGCTGTGTAAGCAGTGACCGGTAATGAAGACACAGGAAGTTTCAGGTTGCCGCTTGTTTATGTCAAACATAGATTTTAGCCTGGGACTCCAAATCTAAAGCCAGTTTTATTTGTGTGTAGTGTTTTTAGTGTGACCTTGTTTTTAGTAGTTTTATATACTGACTTTGGCTTGAGCCTGGGACAGTCCTGATTGATTGGTCGGACTGGAGGACTTTCCCCTTTTTAAAACCCGGGCAGAGGGACTGAGGGGAGGAAATCGGAAGCGTTACGGGGGACGAGGACAGAGGACAAGGACCAGCACGCACCAGGACCAGCACGCGCCAGGACCAGCACGCGCCAGGACCAGCACCCGCCAGGACCAGCACGCGCCAGGACCAGCACGCGCCAGGACCAGCACGCGCCAGGACCAGCACGCGCCAGGACCAGCACGCGCCAGGACCAGCACCGGCACGCACGAGGAGCAGCACGCCCGAGACCTGCAGAGCCCACATACAACGCCCCGTAAAGCTGAGTATGCAGGGACGTGACTAAGCAGCCTCAGTTTGTGTGCGTGTGCTTGCGCGTGAGACCGGAGCGTGATTGCCCACTCTCTCCGCAGCTGAATTGGCGTGGCGCATCAGGCCCCAGCCCAAGCGGCGCAGCGGACCCGGCCCAGCGGAGCAGCAGACCCGGCCCAGCGGAGCAGCGGACCCGGCCCAGCAGAGCAGCGGACCCGGACAAGCGGAGCAGCGGACCCGGCCCAGCGGAGCAGCGGACCCGGCCCAGCGGAGCAGCGGACCCGGCCCAGCGAAGCAGCGGACCCGGCCCAGCGGAGCAGCGGACCCGGCCCAGCGGATCCGGCTCAGTGGAGCACTGGACATAATGCCAGACAAGCTGAGTATTTACAGGGACGTGACCAAACTGCCCCAGATTCTGTGTGTGCGTGCGCGTGAGACCGGCGCCTGATTGCTCGCTCTCTCAGCAGCTACACTGGTGTGGCGCACCAAGCCCCAGCGGAGCAGCAGACCCGGCCCAGCATAGCGGAGCAGTGCGCGCCAGGCCCAGCCCAAGCCCCAGCAGAGCGGAGCAGCGTGCGCCAGGCCCAGCCCGAGCCCCAGCAGAGCGGAGCAGCTCGCGCCAGGCCCAGCCCGAGCCCCAGCAGAGCGGAGCAGCGCGCGCCGGCCCCAGCAGAGAGCGGCCCCAGCAGAGAGCGGCCCCAGCACCCTTTTTTTGACCAGGCCTTAAGACCTTTTAGTCTTATTTTAAACTCTAAATTGGCCATTTTAATTAGCACCATAGGCATTTTATAATTATATTTATTAATAAAAGTATCTGAAGTCCAAGCCTGTGCACATTCATTGTTAAACAGTTACTGGTTGCTCCACACCTGACATTTACCCCAGCAGACTGTGCTAACAAGAGACCTGTAGCTTTTCTCAAGAAAGTGGGGGCCAGTGGTCCGCTGTGATTGGTCACAATCTGGTCCTGAAACAAATTCTCTTCCTTGTTGCACTAAAACACGGCAGCACAAATCTGCGCTACTTTTTCTTGCTTGGATATATTCTATTCCTTATGAATACAAAAATAAAGTGAGGTAATGCAGCTTTAAACAGTCCTGTTTTTTGTTTGTTTACATCTCTACTGTGATGTCATTAGTTCTACAGTAAAACTCTGCTCTACTTTCTGGAAATGTCAACATATTTTACAGAATTCCTTCTGTTTTGGTGCAGTATTGTACATTATATTGTTAACAGGTAAAATTCCACCAACAAATTTTTAAGTTTGTGATTCAATAGGGCTGTAAGAACGCAAATATTTTTTTTCTATCTTTTGGAAATGAGGACAGGGCGACAGTAGCTCAGTTGGTAGAGCATTGGCCTTAAGGCCAGAAGGTCGTGGGTTCAATTCCCACCTCTGCACCTTCTCCATCGACTCCCACTGATGACTGCTGTCGTTGTGTCCTTGGGCAAGACACTTAACCCCACTTTGCCCAAAGCCCCCACTGAAAGATCAAGGCCATGCTCACACTCAGAGAGCAGCCGTCCTCCTGTGGACTCACCACCTGCAGAGGGTCAGTGAGGGGCTGGTGCTATGAGACTTGGGTGGCATCTCTGACTGTCACCCCCCTGACCCAGAAATGGATTAAAGGGTAGAAAATGGATGGATGGATGGATGGAAATGAGGACAAGAAAAATGAGTTGGGAGAAAGACTGACAGAAGAAAAGAAACTGTTCTGTTGAGAGGAAACTTTGTGACATTTTGCCACACAATGTAATCAGATACATTTCGAGGATACTGTAGAAGTATTCAGTCAAGCAACGTGCACCATAAAATGTATACTGATTAAATTATACAGATTCAGATTCTTCAGATTCAGTTCTTGGCCTGTCTAATCACTGACTGCTCAAAAAAAAATCTGAGGTGTGATTAGAGTGGACAGCGACAATCTCATGATCTTCCTGGCTAGTTTTTGCAGTCTCTGGATCTGAGATTGATATTTCACCTTCAGGTTTTGCTTAACTTTACTTGTGTATGAGGAACTGGGCTGTTGCAGTTCGGACAGATCTGGCAACCTCCCCTATACTGCTAAACCTGTACAATTCAAATTCACTCTGAGGATGTTGGATGAGCTCTTTACCAGCGACCTTAAATACAGTTATCATTGGAGAGACACTTGTATTAAAAGCTGGACTTGGTTAGGCCGGCCCTCTGTTTTGTGCACCTCTTAGGCTTTACACTTAGTAGCCATGGCAACATGAGGTGTCACTTTATCTAGCTATTTTCGGAAACGATAATGCTTTTTATAGGCTCTAGCACTATACACTCAGCTTGTGGAGTCTGTTGCATAATCTATTGGAATAGGGCTCTGGAGTTAAGGATTTAATGTCCACACAAGAATAAGATGAACAAAATAGGTTAATTTTGTGAAGAACCAAAAGCAGGCATCGGATAAGCTGTACACATTAGGAGAGTTTGCTTAGGACATTAAAGCTCAGGTACCTAACTTTCTGCCTGTTGTTTGTCCCAAGTAAAAGAACGTCTTTAAGTTAAATGTTGAACAAATCAAACCACAACAGTATGTCGTCATCTAAAAACATGTTATTTTTTGCAAACTTATAAAAATGTCCCTTTGAGTCACTATTTGAGGCTTTGGGCTGAGAGCTGATTGGCTAATTGAGGATGGTTCTCTCTATTTCACTTTTTTGTCAGAAAAATCTGATCTAAAGAGATGAAAGAGGCCAAAAATACATGGATGCTAGAGTTGAAGTCGTGAGTATAAATGTAGCCAAGATTATTTCAATATTTGCTCTACTTCCTGTGAATTTCAGTGGATATCAATGAATGAATTAATGATGAAAAAAATCTATACTAAGGGTTTGACATGAAGTATTGTGCTACCATTAAATTAAGCTTGAAATCATTTAGTTGCCATTGAATTCAGTTAAATATATCAACTCATGACTATAGTTCCTTATCATGTTTTTCATAAGCGTTAAAACCTTTCAACTTTTCAAAAACTTAACCACCCTCTGTTTCAATCTGACTCTGAGGACCTGAACCATTAGTAAAAAATAGAACATTTATGACTGCAGGTCTTCCACTGGGGATTTTCACTTAACTTCCCAGACACAAAATTGCGTGTCCACCCTCTAAGTTAATGTCAAGTGAGAAATAGGTCATTATGATGTGTGTTATATATCCAAAAAGAGCCTGATTAAATCTCAGTCCAAGCCATCACTCAACATAATGAGAGCTTCAATAAAATATGGATATGCTAATGACATATGGGGACTGTTGCAGTGGCCTCAAACGCGTGCCCGAAACTATAATAAGTTGCATTTTCGACCTGTGTAGATTGAACGCAGCTAAGTGTAAACAGTGTCATCTCATGTGTTTCTCATGAATCTCAAGAAATGATGGTAGACTCCAGCGGGGGTCCCACACTGCCTGATGTGTCATGTTTTTGCCTCAGTGATCAGAAAAACAGGGACAGCGGTTGTTACGACACAGGCCTTGGCTTGAACTAAGGTAAAAAATAGCACATTTCAGATGAATTATGCAAAGAAAGGGAGGCATCAATTATTCAGCCAAACAAGATAAGGCTATGTCAATTACAGCGCTGACATGTCAAATATATATTCAGATGAGACATATACACATATACTGTAGTCTATACATATACATATAGACTAAAGATGCCAAGACTATTGGCATCTTTAGACTATTGAAACTAGTGGGCTCTTGTCATTTCCTTATTCTCCTCCAGCAAATCTTACTGGTCGAAGTTACGCCAAGATGAAAAGGGCCACGTAAAATATGTTAGTTAGATAATACTTATTGTAGATCAATACAACCTTTTCCCGAGTGAGCTCCTTCTTCAGACAGTTTAAGGAAAGTCGACAAATGAATTAAGTAGTTTTTATCTTGATTTTACTACATTTAGATGTTCCATCCATCCATTTTCTTCCCCTTAATCCATTTCTGTGTCGGGGGGTGGCACTCAGATTTGCACCCATGCAGTTCACATATAGCACCACCCCCTCACTGATCCTCCTGCAGATGGCAGGTCCACAGGGGGCTTCAGGCAAAGTGGGGTTAAGTGTCTTGCCCAAGGACACGACGACAGCAGACATCAGTGGGAGTCGTGAAGTGGGTCTCGTGGTGGACTCAAACCTACAAACTTCAGGCCAAAGGCCAATGCTCTACCAACTGAGCCACTGTCGCCCCAGATGTTCCTTAAAGTAAAAACATATTCAAGGATTTTAAAATAGAACAACTAACTTTGGTCTCATGTCAAGCACAGCATTTGTGTTATTTGTTCCATTGACAAATCTTATTACAAGACGAAAATGGAATTAAGTCGAATTTGGGCAGTGAATAACTTTTTTGATATTTTCTACAATATAGTCTAAACGCCATAAAAATTATTATTATAATGCATCAGTGCTCTATGCTGAAGGTGGGATTGGCTACTGGTAGCTCCTGAGCTACAGGTTGGAGATCCTGGCGGTACAAAATACTTTGGCCCATGGTTAGAAATATTATCTTCTTAAAATGTAAGTTTCTGACTTTGAGGCTTTTTATACATATGTTGAAACTTGTGTTAAAATAATAAATAAATAAAAAATCAGAATCTCTCATACTCCCCCCTGGACTGCCACCTTAACGTGGTGGGGGAGTTTGAGTACTCGGATGATCCTGGGAGCTATGCTGTCTGGGGCTTCATGCCCCTGGTAGGCTCTCCCATGGCAGACAGGTCTCAGGTGACGAGTCAGACGAAGACCAGTCAGAACCCAACATGGACAGCACGAAAAGAAGAACCGTGACGTCGCCCGGCATGGCGCAGCCGGGGCCCCACCCTGGAGCCAGGCCTGGGGTCGAGGCTCGAATGCGAGCGCCTGGTGGCCGGGCCTTGGCCCACGGGGCCCGGCCGGGCTCAGCCCGAAAGGACGACGTGGGCAGTCCCTCCTGTGGGCCCACCACCCGCAGAGGGGTCCGTGGCGGCTCGGTGCAGAGAGGACTGGGCAGCAGTCGAAGGCGGAGACCTCGGCGACCCAGTCCGCACACCCAACATCTGGCTCTTGGGACGTGGAACGTCACCTCACTGGGGCGGAAGGAGCCCGAGCTTGTGGGGGAGGTCGAGAGGTACCGACTAGAGATAGTCGGCCTCACCTCCACACACAGCTTGGGCTCTGGAACCCAACTCCTTGAGAGGGGTTGGACGCTCCACTTTTCTGGTGTTTCTCGCGGGGAGAGGCGGCGAGCTGGGGTGGCCATACTCATTGCCCCCCATCTCAGCCGCCACGTGTTGGAGTTCTCCCCGGTGAATGAGAGGGTCGCGTCCCTCCGCCTTCGGGTGGGGGAAAAGTCTCTCACTGTTGTGACGGCCTACGGGCCTAACAGCAGTGCAGAGTACTCGGCCTTCTTGGAGTCCTTGGGAGGGGTACTGGACGGTGCACCGCCCGGGGACTCCGTCATTCTCCTGGGGGACTTTAACGCCCATGTGGGAAGCGCCAGTGACACTTGGAGAGGGGTGATCGGGAAGAATGGCCCCCCTGATCTGAACCCGAGTGGTGTTCAGTTGTTGGACTTCTGTGCTAGTCACGGTTTGTCCATCACGAACACCATGTTTGAGCACAAGGGTGTCCACCAGTGCACGTGGCACCAGGACACCCTAGGCCGGAGGTCGATGATCGACTTTGTTGTCGTATCATCTGACCTTCGGCCGCGTGT